GCAATTGCAGCTTGTTGACCGGTCTGCGTAACTTGAAGCGCACCAGTCTTAGCGATGGTCAGGAGCTTTGAATAGAGGCAGATGTACTGAGGTTGTCTGCGTAGTTGAACTTACATTTTGTTGACAGAGAAGGGATGTCGCCTCACGATTGTGTATGAGTCTAAACTAGGATACAAACGTCTATCAAAACAAGAAGTAATTAAGTCAAGAATTGGGGAGTAAAAAACAGGGGGATACAGTGAAGTTGGAACGGGGCGATAAGGATGAAAAAACGCGAGAAGGGGAATAAAAAGATGTGAAGGCCTGGGCAGTAACATCCTCACTCCTGTCCACACTGCTCGATGTAGCAGTTAGAGCGCTGTCGATTACCACCTGCGACAGCCACAGCGTCAAGAAATTGCGCGAAGAGAAATTCATTGTATTACGTGAGCATGATACTGTCAGATTGCCCAAGCTTAGAGAGGAAGACGATTAGGATCCCTAACCAAAGCTCTTGGTTCAAGAACTCGAGCGCAAGACATCCGCAGTTTGGCAGTGAGTTACATAGTCCATTTTAAGGAGTAAGGAGCCATTTCACTTCAACCTGGAGGATTAGGTGATTGTCTGGCCACCGACCAATCTAGTATGAGTGACTATAAAGGTGCATGAAGCGCCACCCAGCAGAGCTCAATGGACCGTTGAGGCAAGCAAACCGTCTCAATGCTATAAGGTCCACTCTCATTTCACTGAATCATGTCGATCTAGCTACCAGTGGCCACCGTTTCGAGGTTAAGCTGTGCAGAGTACACACATCCTAATTCGACCTATGTGCTTTGATCGTTAACCCGCCACTTTTCTATTCTTGCTTCTTTTGTAAGTCGACTCTCTGTCCAGTAGGTGAAACAGGTTCCTGTTGGCACCCGTTAAGTATCTAAATGCATCATTATACACGTTAGCTGGAGGTAGGAAACGCCTCAGCTACTGTCCCGTAATACAAAAGAAAAAATACAACAGGTGCAAGCCAGCTGAGCTATCGGTAGTGAATAGGCATCGTACTGGAAAGCTACAAGCCGGCTACCAAGCATTAAAAATATTTATTATGCTACGAAATGACATTGCGGTTGGACAGACGCTAAGAGGGATGGGGTGGGACAAAGAAACATCCGAACTCTAAGAATCTGTGAAGCAAGGAAACACTTTCCAATGGCAAGTGAGTTTTAGCGTGTCCGTAACATCCTAAAAGCACGGTTGACAAGGAGTCTTCGAGTTGATCAGGATCGTTGGTGGGTTACATGAGCCTGTGAGATGAAGACGGTCAGTGCTATTTGGAACAATCGAGTGCTGTTCGAGTTCATTCAGAACATGTATCCAAGACACCCCTTAGTTGGTGAGACGACAGCTAAGAAAGATGGACACTTGATCCATTCTCAACCTCGTCAACTAGTCGATTGGGCAGAAGTATGAAGAGCTGTTCAGCAGGTTTGCTGCGACACCGCCGTTTGCGTAATTAACTAACCCGCAGTTCGAAGTTGATATCACACCTACTAATTTGGAAGAGATCCGGAATGAGCTTCCCGTGGGGAAATAAAACAAGGCACGTGGATGTGAATAGCTTGCTCCAATCTGGCAGAAGAATGGAGATAAATATTTGACTGAACCAGTTGCTCTATTCAATGCTATTCGGGACACCGAAGAGGTGCCTTCAGACTGGCGACTGTCAACTATTAGTGAGTGTAAGAAATAGAAGAAAATTGAGTGTTTTCCGCTCGAAAAGCGTCGTGGAATGCAATGTTCTCGGGTAGACAACACCCAGCTTCCTTCTGTTTCATCGGCTGCGGTTCTAGTGATCAAATGGACTAGGGTTCATTTCAATATGAATCACAGTCTACAGTGAGATGCGCGCTGCAATCCAATCACACAACGTGTACTTCAAAATGATACTCAAATCAAGAGGGGTAACGCAGAGGTGTAGCAAGGGGTGCGGTCCGCCCCGGGTGACATGCGGCAGGATACGGTATTTTAGTACCGTTGATTATTCGATACCAAATATACAGATATATACAGATATGCAAACGTTCTTCCCAGGGGCCCCCTTACTCGACCAACTGTGGTCACGTTAACCGTATTTCACCGAAAACTAATGTTCTATTTACGCTGAGCCGATTATACAATCTACACGCGCTAATTCTGCTCTCAGTCAAGGCGAAAATTTGCCCATCCCCCATGGCGGAAAAAGTAGTTGCTACGTCACCGGGTCAGCGTAGTCCGTGGGAAAATCATCGAGACACTAGCTTCTTTCTATTTTCCCCAAACTTCTCACAGGTGACATTCTTCGATGACTTACTGGTTCTCGATGAGGGCCCAATTATTGAGATTCAAGCAGGCGTTCACCCTGTTCGTGGCTGCATGGACCACATATTTAATCTAGGTCAATTGTTAAAGCACTTAGTCGAGCGACTATGGTGGTTTTCCTTGACCCGAAAGCTACTTTTGACTCTGTATAACGCATATCCATGAAGGGCGTGCCTAGAAAACCTCCTCCCGTTCTGAGGTCACACTACCGTGACTCCCGAGGCCGTTTAAGACTAGAGAAAGCTGTCTTCTGAGTTCCTCACGATAAGTGGGATTCGCCAAGGTTGACTTACATCGTTTTTCCTCTTCAACTTGTGATCAGATGATTATGAATGATCCTTTAGCGGAGTGAAAGTTCGGCTAGGTGATAGACAAACCTGGAGTAGGTGGACAACAGCTCTCCTTGACTCTGACAGAGTGGTTATGCAAGCACTGATGAATAGACTGACGCTTAGCACCGCACGTTTGGGCACGTGTTTTGTACCATTAAAGTGCAAACCACTGTTGTAGGACTGAGTTGATACGCCACAGATTTTAGCTGCCAGCGGATTGCCACTGGAAGTGGTGGATCGGTTCACTTACCGTGGTAAGTGTGTCACCTCTGGTGGTTGAGCCACTGGTTACTTCGCGTGTCAGCAAGGCTCGCGTGGCGTTTCAGAGACTACCATATAAAAAGACGGGGGATATCAGCTTGTCAGTGGAAGTTGGGGTGTATAACACTGCGATAAACCGGAGTTATTGTATGGGACAGAGACCTGGCGGTGTTCCATCACAGGTGTTTGTGGGATATTGCTCACATTCACACCGATTGAGCAATGATGAGCTGCGCCAGTGGGTTTTTGGCAGGAAACCAGCTGGTTCCTCGTTCGTGTTTGCCGAATCTTAATCCGTTACCTTGGCTGGGTCACATCCGCATGCTCGATGACCGTCATCCTCGGTGTGTACCATGTGGTTGGCAAAACCGCGAAGTGGCTAGTCGATGACTTGGCATAGGAACATAGAGAAGTTAACTAAATACCATGGTCAAGGTGGTACGTGTCGTCATTGTGGATGGGGGCCCCGGGGTGATCCACATCAGCGGTTGGAAACCCTATCAAATATGGTGCAGTCGCACAATCCCTAGCGACCTTGCATTCGGTCTTTTCTATCTAGTTGTTCGTTTTCATTCCATCCCGATTAGATTAACACACTGCTTTCTTGATTCCATTTTCTTTATGCTGTATTTATCTTCAACCTCATTGTCTAAGTGTTGCTATTCTGGCGACGTGAGTCATGTTAACTGGATTCACCGCGCTCAGGTGCCCAGAGCCCAGTTGTTCGACGGAAATAAACTGAACCAAGTTCGAAACTCAGAGAAAGTGTCGCTCAATAGACGAAGAAGAATATAGCTGCAACGGAAGACAAGAACAAGCATTGTTAACGTGATTTAGAGGGGAGATGATACTCTACGCTAACTATTCTGGAAGATGGATTTGTTTGAGTCTCCCAGTCATTAGTACTTGGCCAAAAATTCTGGCCTACAAGGCAACTGGGTAAGTAGAGGGGCTTTTAACTCATCAAACTTACCCCAAAAGAGTGGGGAGAACGCCTACCTTGGAGTAGGGCTGAAGAACTCATTTGGGTCTGCATGTGGCTCATTCAAGCAACATCTGAAGAATCAGAAAAATCCAGACATTTTCAGACTGTGGTACAATAGTTGTCTGATACCAAGGCCAATTACAGACAAGATCTGGTGGGTTTGGAACATTTTTGATCAGAGGTTACTTAGCCTCAAGTGGACGACTGTAAACCACCTAGTTTAAATGGTGCTTTCTCACCGGCAGAAACTATACCTAGCACTCATGCTCCACGCAAATCTAGCTGTGCCAACAATCCTTAACATGTTGACTCTAATGACTAAGGCTTGAAAGAAAAGGGACAGCGACATCCACGGCCTTGAAAGACCATGCTGATCTGACTTCTTAGAAGATAGCGGGAGTAAACCGGCACACCGTGCCGACGCTATCCTGTCACGCGACCACAACGGGCCGCACGAGGGCTGGGTATCATACGACATCGCCCGCATCTACGCGAATTCCAAACACTGATCTCTGGATTACAAGGCAGACATTATATCCTTCCCGCTGACCGCCGACTAATCTACTACGTCTTATGAAAAGGAAACTGAGATGGAGTTTGTCCGTCCAGTAAACAATGGTCAAACGAGTAAGCTTTGTAGTAGTTGAAAGTTGCAAATTCTCAAAGCTCAACAAGTCGTGGAAACACACCAATCATTTTCGCAGTCCAATCTTATCAAGGAAGATGACTCTGTGTCTAGTTGATAGACTGTTGAGATTACATGCATATTATACAGGAAGATGGAGTAAAATACCCGTAAACGAATTCTACGAAGATCGTAGTCGAGAAACCCAAACATGGGGTCAAGAACACAAGTAACAGCACAACGAGCCAGCAACGATCCCATAGTTAATAATTTTCGAATACCTGACCTGTTTTGAAGTGTTATTATTGTTATTCATGGTTGGATTTATTGTTATAACCTGATGCATGGGTCACAGCTGATATACTGTACCAAGCACAATATAGCAAATCAGGACCTCTATTCAAAGGAACGTTTACCACTTATGCATAAATGAAAAGGTCACCAAAGCGATTTGAAAATAACCTACAGGTAAAGCCTCCGCGCTAGTAATGATGCATTGAAATTTACTGCAGTTTCCCGGAGGTCCAAAGGGGTCGGTAAGCTTGGCTACCACGAGGTGAGAGGCAGGGAAGCCAACACAGGATAAGAAGGACCGAACATTCGCGCAGCGAGATTCGAACGACAAGATCAGAGGTGCCAATTGTTTACTTTCGAGGCCTTCGTCAGAAGTGATACCCACAAGTAACTCTTTTCTCGTGAGTAAACCACCGATAGAAAGAAGAATTTTGTGTCCATTGTGCAAACGATCAAAGGTTCCACCGACGCACACACAGTCGTAAGTATTAGATGAAGAAGTATCACTAGTGTCGAAGTTGTCTTCGATCGAGTTCACGGAATCGGCTGAAAAGGAACAGTAAACACAGGTAAAAACTACCATATCACTATAAAGATCCCCAGAAAGGAGCTTTACGGGAGCAAACCACTTTAGTGGATGAGAAATGGACTACTGACCAAAAATCACTAAAGAAGCAAATGGCAAAAACAAAGCAAACTGGGATCGGAAAATAGTGTACTATGAGCAAACCCAACTAGGAAAATTTTAAATCCAAATCTTGATGGTTTGCATTACGGAATTAAATATAAATTCCATGTAAGCCTCATTATCACCAGTAGCTAGAGGTGAGAAGCGTCCCAGATGTAGTCACAGTGCAATATAACGACAGAGATGGGAAGGAAAGAAACACAAATCTGACATTGGGGTTTGCATTAGTATGCATCATGGAGGGGATTAGGGTTGGAGGGGTGCAGACAAAACCAAAACGCAGGCGGCAATGAGATCGGCTATTCGACATTCCAACAAGTGTTTCCAATCCATCATTATCATTACATGTCAGTTGACTCCAACTATTGTACCACAATACAAAATGATATATAAAAGCGAGACAATAAATATTATGGAATTCAAAAAGCAAACATACTGCCTCAAAGCACAGATCATGGTTGCAGGGGGAAGGTAGCGGGATGTGGAGGGACAAAGAAACAAACAACACAAACGTCGTTGAGATCGCCTCTTCACCATGTCAATTGTTGTATCCAACCAGACATGGACAGGATCCTTCGGACCCTAGTCGGGCCGGAGAAACCAACCGACTCCAAGTTCGAAGTGAGAGACTTCATTCCTCCTGACGAAGTCATCGCTTGGCCTCCCCTCCTTCTCTTCCATCTAGACCCCGCCGCGCAAACAGTGCACGATGCGGGAGTCGGTGTGCTGGCATGCGCAACACGTGGCCCAGCCATCGGAGCCTGGTGCGTGATGTAATGGTGCTGAGGGTTCACTCAATTTTACTGCAACAAATACACGACGTCGAACACATTTACTGCTCACGCAGTGCTCTCAACAGATATGAACAAGCCGCGAAGGCAAAGATGATGGAAAGTGACTAGCCTTTTTATATCTATCGACCTGACGGACCAGATTTCACAATCGAATAATAGGATTGAACGGACGGATGCATCATAAACTCTGCCATTCAGAGCGACAGGGATGCCGCACCGGCGTCAGAAGTGGCGGAGATTGACGAAAGCACCTCGACCTTTGCTACACGGTTCGTGACCACATATTCCATCCCCCGGACGCTAATAAGCTGCCTAGGTACTTGAATTCTTCAACGAATTCTAACTGATCACCACCTAGGGTCAGCGTAAAGGGTGGGTCCCTGTCAATCCTGGAGAAGACAAAATGTAGCCCGAAATGACTGACGGCCAATGCTGATCTGCCTAGTCCTGCTTGGTACGTAAGGGAGCTGTCACATTGAACAGCAATGTCGTCAATCACTGTCACCTGGGAACAGCTCCACATGTAGGTTGTGTACAGCGAACGATGTTTCCGTGACATTGTCAATGGTGAAGTTGAAGAGGAAAGGTGACAGCGGGAAAAGTTGTCTCACATGGCTGGAGATATTAAAGACTGCCGACAGCTTGCTGTAAGCCCTCACTCTGCCCGAACAGCGTGCATAAAGCGCTCTGATGATGTTTACGTATTACTCCAGCCTTCAAATTTAGTCGCGTTTAATGATTCCTGCCCAATGGATTTATCCACACACACACACACACGCTCATTCCGGTTATTTTATTACCCCTTTGTTTTAATCCAACAGTTTTTCATTGTGCGAATCGCATCATGATTACCTACAGTCGCGAAATTTTAAAGATCACGAACCTAGTACATTTCCCTGGTCAGTCTATACGGAACAAATGAAAAGCAATCAAAAGGTAACGAGGTGGTTCCAAAAATAGTACCGTACAGGATAGAGGGTTGCACTTTGAAGGACATATGAGCATACGCATTTCGATCAGTACTAAGCTCAGTCCCCTTATGGGGAAAATTAGAAGAGCTTAAAAGTATAACAAAGTATTGTCAAATACGTCTGATTTGGTGTCGTTGTGCTACAGGAAACCTGACTGCATGATGACGTGGACAATACGTTTGTGGTACTTGACAGGTTTACAGAGCGCCGCGTTGACCGCCCATGTACACACAGACACCGTGGCGGTGGCGTTAGCAGATACATCATTTCTTCATGGTGCACGTCGACAAACGTTATTTTGTCATTATGCGCAGCGCATTAGGCGTTTAATTGTGAAATGCAAGCCACGATACTTGGGCGGTTATTCTTCGATTCTACTGGCCAAATTTGCATTTCTCCCAGCTGTCCTATGGTTGAGACTGAAAATGTTTCTGACAATTACGCAACTACAGTTATTGGACATCTGTATTCTTGTTTATGCGCTTTTGCCGGTGTCCGCAATCGATACGACACTAGTTTCATTACCAACCTTTGACCGATGAACATCGTGCAGTCTGCAACCAGGTTACAAGCAACCCTAGACTTAGTATTTGATAACAACTTAAATACGTTTTCTGCCTGTAACAAGGCACCAGTTGGAAGCCCAGACCATGCTACCATAGTTATCTCTCATTATCAATAATAAAAAGGAGCATAAGAATATTATTCGCTGCAAAAATCGCGAATTAATGCAAAGACAATGCTTTCCGAGAAACATCCAACTATAACGCGAAACTACTGCCTCTGCAGACTTCAATCTACTTTACAACTTTGATGTATCGAAGTACTGTGACTACTTAATCAGTTATTTGAACTTCGATATTTGTTATCCTTTGAAAATGATTTTAATCCGCTCAGATAAATTCTCATCACAGTACCTAAAAAGACTGCGCAGGCTCAGAGATAAAGCTTAGAAGTGCAAAGACCAGCTCAGTAAAGTCTTTGTCGAATGATATAAAAAGTGAAATCTGTCGCTTCAACCATATATGTGTCAATACTGTAGCTGGAAAAGATGATTACCGAGAAATATGGAAAATAAGGAAGAATCGGAGTGAAGCCATCCGCAGTGTATGCAGTACATCTTGTTGTCTCCCCTGGCTGGTCCCACTGAATCTACCCAGCGAAGCGGAGGTTTACCTCGAGATTCGACGCTTGAAGTGATTTAAGGCTGCCGGCTCACACGAATTTGTTCCGGAGCTCCTTAGGTACGACGGCAGAGCGATTATTAACCAGCTGATCTCGCTGTTCGCAAAATCTGGCATGAAGAAAAGGTACCTTGCTCTTGCGGCAAGTCAGCTACTGTACTGATTTTCAAGAAAGGCGCTCGCACCTCATGTGTTCATCATCGCGGGATTAGTATTATTTCGGCTGCCTCCAAGCTCTTGGTATTCATACCGCTTCGGAGACTATCGCCAGTACGTGAATCATACTACCGTGAAGAACAAGCTGATCTCCGCCTCGGCCGTGGATGCGCGGACTAAATCTTCACGCTCCGCCAATTCCTCGAACTTCACCACATTTGCCACAGACCCACTATCGTCGTATTCCAAGACATATGCGTTGCATTTGACTCGGTTGCTAGACAAACTCTATGGCGTTTCTTGCTGAAGAATGGGGTGCCAGAGAAGTACACCGCCATCTTACGTGCACATTACCTTCATACCTCTGGCAGAGTAAAGGTCTACAGCAAGCTTTCATCGTCCTTCGCTGTCACTAACGGTGTGCCCTATGTCCCCATTCCTCTTCAAATACGCTAAGATGCTATGTCGGGTGCTCTAGGTTTCCAAAATTTCGGCATAAAGCTTCTACTGGGTGAGCGCGGGACCGAGTTAGCTTATGCCGATGATATCGCCTTACTTGGTGGCGATCCACAAAGCATGCAACTCCTTCTGGATCGTCTGGCGGTTGAAGCAACTAAGTATGGCATGAGCTTCACCCCATCGAAGTGTAGTGCGCTGTTCTAGGATTGGCTTACACCTGCTCCTGTGCTCATTCTTGAAGGTGCGCAACTTAAACAGATAGATAGTTTCGTCTACCTTGGGAGCTGTGCTTCTGTTGGTGGCACTGTAAGCAAGGAAATTTCTGCTCGCATCGCTAAAGCCCGATAGGCATTTGTCAAACTGAGGCACTTGTGGCGTCGTCGTGACAACTCAAGCTCGTTAAAAGGTCATTTTTACAGTGCGTCTGTTCGCTCAGTAATGTTGGATAGGAGCGAGTCTTGGCCAATTCGCGTAGAAGACATGCGTTGTCTTTCTGCCTTCGACAGTAATTGTTTGAGGAGGATCACCCGTGTATGGCGGCAAAATCAAGTTCACATTGATGACGATTGACATCGAGTCTTGGGGAATGCAAATATTCTCTTCAACAAATTGATTTGCCACACCAGTTGAAATGGCTTGGTCACTTCCTACGCATGGCGCCTGAACGCCTACTTTGCCGCGCTCTATTCGCTCGATAAGGTCCTGGCTGAAGGCGACCGTGTTTTGGTCAGTCTTCCACTTGGCGACAGCACAAGGAATCGCTGACGTCGCGTCTAACTGCCGTTGGACCCGTTCGTCTTCCAGGATGGGGGCCCAAGGATGAGGATTGCCAATGACTTAACACGCATGAAGACAGCACGCAACCGGAAATAGTAAAAGAATTGTGTACAATATTGCATGAATTAGCATGTTTAATACATCAAACAGTGAAAATGACAAAAAAGAAAGATCAGTGAGCGAAAAAGAAACTAAAAATGTTTCCTTCTATTTTTGGTCAAATTGTACATTCCTTTGATCTGTTTACATACATGCTTGGATTCAGAAGCTTAATGCATAATAATTAAAAAGATAGATAGTGTGGTATGTGAAAGAGCAAAAAAGTTCCTTTCCTTCTGCAGCACGGTAGCTGAAGTGTTTTGCACACATTCAACTACTAGGCAGGCATGCCGCGACTACCACTTATTCGTTAATCTCTGGTATTTGTTGACTCGATGACGACTACTACTACTACTACTACTATTACTACTACGCAGTGCGCTAATCAATTAGACATGAATGATCACCAGCGCGAACTGATTAATATATACAAAACAGCATCGTAAATAGTTTGTCTTCAAAGACCTACACAGTAGGTCGTATGTGTTAGTAAACACCATTGGCGTACATCTTACGAGCCAGTGCATTTTTGTTTGAGGCAAGTCAGTATGGGGAGATTACAAACATCGCCCCGTAAAACCCGACGTATGGAAAGTATCATAAAGGCAAAAGTTACAACAAATAGTGGAATAAGAGCTCATTGATTTAGGCGCCTTCGCTCGCAACTCATAAAACAATGTTAGCAAATCTTTACAGTCTATGAAGACTGAAACGCATGGTCAAAACGATTTTTCGAAAGCTGATCAGCGCTGATTTGCATAGCGACCGTAATCAAGTGTTTGATCGAAAGATCCACGAGGGCATCTTTGTAACTAGGCGTGTTACAATGGCTCAGCAAATCCCCGTATCGGCTCACACTACAATTACCTATATTCGGGGCCAATCCAATTGCTATAAAATCAATGGCATTAGCATCAAGACCAATTTAAAATCACCCGATCAATGCGCTGAATATATACGTATCACTGCAACCGCAGGTAGCAGTGAAATTGCAGAACCGATAACAACAATTGTAACAGTGTGAGATAATTGAAAACTCCTCGGTAGACTTACACAACATGATGTGGTCAACACCATGAGGCAAAGAAGGATTCAAAAGACGAGCTTGGTCAACTGCCTGCTCAGTAAGCCGTTCGCAAGAAAGGATCACATCGATTTCAATAGCTCGGCTTCTTTTATCACTTCGCGGCAGGAGGAAGTATACATCAAGTGATGGGCAAATCTAAGCTATACTAAAACTAAATGCAGACCTACCTCAGAGGCTGCGTTGTAAAAACTGGAAATGGCACCTTTCCACTGGATCAGAGACAAAGTGTTATTCGGTATGCAAAGTATTAGTTTCTCGTGGACCATTTGGGTGGCTCGTTGTAAAATGGGAACGAGGAAATGTTTTTTGACCGCAGAAGATAGGAAGAGAAGGCCAGTGCCGTACATAGTTGGGTGCAGCCCAACGCCACAAGAATATCAATTACCAGTGGCGCTAGAAAGAATGGAAAACCTCATCAACCTTCTTGTTGAGCGGGAGGTTGAACTGTGATCGGACAAAACGTACCGAAATTACGAAAAACTGAAAACAAAAGGCACGGACCGCGTGTTAAGCAAATGGTGACTGATCGAGCTCTGTGCTAATAGTAGCTGCGGTTGAAACGTGAAATGGTTGGCAGCATCAGTGTCCGGATATAACTGCCGCTGTGAATTCAATAGGATGGCCACAGCACGAAGGTGCCTATAGATGGACCAAGGGTAGATTGAGCCGCACCATGCACAGCTCCAACCACACTCTATATCCAGTCTAAACCCGAAGAATAAGACCAGAATGCATTGCGGCGCACACTCCTTCAACATGCACAGCAGCAGCATTCCTGTCTGTTTGAGTAGGGAACCGTACGTACCAGACGTATAAAAAGCGGTGGCTGGGTCGTAGGCCGTTATGTACAGGATACAATCATTCTTCGTCTAGCATGGTCACGGTCACGAGGAGCGTGAAACCAGTCTACCTAATCTAAGAGCAATTGTCTTCTGGAGCCAGTATGATTGAAGTGGCAGTTTTTCGACAGCCCGTGCAGATCACACAGGAAGTTTAATGTGTCAAGCGCCTGCGAAACAAGCGGTGCGAAGTCGGCGCCATTGTTTACGACTGTCATCCAAATGTTCTCACGTTCACTGAGACGCTGTTGTCTGACGACGGCACACACTGTGAACCATGCTTACCAGGCTACTCAATGCTGAGTTGTGGCCGCGCTTCCAATCGTCGCCTATTAAACAGTCTTATACTGAATCCAAAAAATTAGGCTGTTCGTCTGCCGCACGCTGACTTCTGTGTAGATATACACACACTAGGAAAGCAACGGGAAAATTGTCTCCTTTCGCCCATTTCTCTCCTTAGCTAACCATTCTCTTCAGAGTAGCGAGCTTGTACGTCACGAAAATAAAAGTATATCTCACCTATCTTGATTTGCCTTTTTACTTTTTCATTCCCTTCTTTAAAACCACTTTCAGTTCTTAAAACTAATACAACGCATTTCCCTACTATGGTAAACGCATATACGGATGCACTTGTGGGCATGAGATAGTGATCCTGTATGATCGGTGATAACCGGCTTAAGTAGTAGCGCGCGATTATACCGCAGCGAAAAGCGTTGTTTATCATTGAGGTCTCCTGTTTTACCTATTACATGCGTTCACTTGCACCTAATTAAGTCGGAACACCCACCTCACGGAGCCTAAAAGCGGTCGAATTGGGTTGTGTGGTTCAAGTGCAATTGGGACAGGAACAGTAGGATTTTCCCATGTGTGTTCCTATTTGATTAGTTCGTTGAACTGAAACAGACTCCGTGGGATCAATTGGAAACCAAGGACAGCCAAACCAATACACTCGATTCAGATCAGGGTAAATGGCTGTATGGGCCAGGTGAATAGGGATAAATGCTAAGGGAAAGCAACATAAACAGAACATGTAAAATTACAATGTAAGCTCAAACGTGCACAATGTAGTAGCAGTAACAATAAGGGACGAGAAGTAAACGAAGGGAAGAAGAAAGAAGGCATCAGCAGTACGCCAGCGCGCAGTGCCGAGGCTTCGCTGCTGCGCAACCACCACCAGCTACACATGGGCTGGATACTGCGAATGTCGCCCGGTCCCTACGCAGAATCGAAACACGTTCTCGGATCACAATGCAGGCTTGAGATCCTTAAGGCTACGGGCCGGAAACGAAAGAGAAGCGGAAGTTAAAAGGCAAAAGGAATGATTTGAAACTGTAACAAAAAGGCATCGAGTCGACGTTTAAACTCCTTCACCGTTAGTGCTATTATCACACCATGAATCTAAGACCCTAGGTGAAAAATGAAAGTCAGCTCTGACGCCATCGGATCTGAACATATGCAGCTTCAGAGGGTGGCCTCGACAGGTTGGCATCCAGGTGGGATGGAACAGTCGAGATAGATCAAGCCCAATCTGGCCAGTCAGTATACGATACGTAAGAATCAAGTCGATCCGAAGGCGTCTATAGTGTAGAGAAAACATATGAAATTTGAGCAGCCGATTGGGATACGAGATTCATTAACACGTGCACTATGTTTGTGTCAGTGCTCAGAACGCGCTCAACTGCCAACTTACCGCGGGCCAAGCATGGAGGGCAGACCTGCACGCAGTATTCCAAGTATGGTCTTACAAAGACAGACAACATAACAAAGATTTCATTTGTTATGATCCCGAACGATCTGCGAATTCTCAACAGCATTAGGAAACCCTTGCGAGTAGCTGTCGTCCAATTCTCGTTGGATCTAAAGTCCGAGGACAGCGAAATGCCTGTCAACTTGGTTGGTGTCACGTGCTACTTAACGATCTCTGACTATACGTACTTACGCAGATTGGTCCTCCACACACACATGCATTCCCATACACCTAACTTCACGCCTCGAAAGTTGTAGCGCGTCAGTTTTGAGTACATTGCTAAGGGCTGATATACGTAGTTCTAGGAACGAGACGTGACATTTGGCGACGGAAGTGAACGTGTCCATGGCAAATGCTCCACCGGTATTCTGGTCTTATTCCACCGACAAACCTTCTTTGGATACTTGGGATCAATGACGGAAAACCGTTATTCATTACCTGGAACTGCTTACAATCTTGAACCAGGCAGTGTCACTTACGCAGTGAAACAAAGTGCAACTTTTACGATAGTTTCTTGGGAAGGATTGTCAAAGATATTTCGTTGCTCTCCGTATTGAGAACATCTGTTCTACCATAGCCAGTGTTCTGGACACATTCAGTGCTCTTTTGGGTGCTCGTCAATATGCGTTTACGGCTGGATATTACTTCACCAAACTCACTCGGAAATCACATGAATGTGTGAAAGAATTCGTTGCTCATGTGCTACAAGCGGTACCTGACCATAAATACAGTGAAACCGATTCAGAGAGGTATGAAGAAATCATGCTACTCCAGTGCCTGGTCTCGAGGATTTCATGCCAGAACACGCGGGAAAACTTACTTTCACAAGAGGATTGTTTGCAGATGTGGGAAACAGCGTGTTTTATCGCCAGATAGGGGAGAAACCTTACTCAACAACTAGCAACATTTACTTTGACTCATCAGAAAAATTGAGATTAGTGGGCAATAGTCCGGAAAATAGGTGGGCATTCACTAGCCTCAAATCATTTTGTGCTACCATTGTAGCGAATGGCAGTTGTCCTCCTGACTATCGACATCAAAAGATCGTATGTCGGAACTGCGGTCGGTGGCGCGGCTGTGCAGATCGGTCAAAGGTTGATCAGGTGGGGTTTACTGGGGATACAAACCCAGCAAAAGCGTGGGCAAGTCGGATGTTAGCGAGTCTGAGTTGCATTCGATATGGTTGAATACCATTCCTAATATGCGGTCAGCGCCATACACACTGGAGCTTTGGACTGAAGGACAGAAAGTACAGATGAAGACCGATATAGGGGCATCTGTGACAATAATTGAAGAAAGTGCTGTAAGAACATTGTCACACTTATCTTCCTGCTGTTCCGTTCTTCGTATGTATACCGGCGAACCCATACGTGTTCTTGGTAAATGCCTCGAAAGACACAATACAGCAACAGAATATAGAAACCTCCTGTATATGTGGTCGCTGGGAATCGCCCGAACCTGCTAGGAAGAGACTGGATACATGCACTTCCGGTTCATTTAGATGTGGTAAAAGCAATCACTGAGGTCTCGGAACTTGAAGCCTAACGAAAACAACGTTCTGCTATTTTGACCGTGGAAATTGAAAAATTGAAAGCATTTCAAGGTAATATAAATTAAAGGAAGGCACTCGGCTAAAATTCACTAAGGCGCGCAAACTACCGCACTCCATGAGGCCTAAAGCCTAAATTCGTTTACAAACCCAGGGTATTATTAGGTCTGTACAAACTTCAGACTGGAGAACACCAAACCTGACGGCTACGTACAGATCTGTGGTGATTATAAAATGATTGTCAATCAAACATCTATGCTAGCCAGGTAGACATTACCACGCGCTGATGATTTGTAAGCAACACTGGCAGGTGAAAATTTTACCAAACTTGATCTTAGTCATTAGTACTCGTAGATAAAGCTCGAGGAGCCTTCGATGAAGCTTACTATGATCAACACACATATTGGACCACACCAATATACTCGTTTGCCTTTTGACATTAGTTCTGCTCCTGGAATCTTCCAAAAGATAAATGACTTAGTGAAGGGCATACCTTTTGCTTGTGCCTATCTGGAAGATATTCTTAGCTCCAGACTCTCGCTGTCACACTTGAGCGTTTGGAAGGAAACGGATTAAGACTGAGAAAAACCAAATAAGTTCCTTTCTCCTTTCGTTTGTTTTCTTGGATACCGGCTGGATAAATACGGGTTACATGTTTTAAATGACAAGGTAAAGTCAATTTTAGAAAGTCCCGAGCCGAAGAATATTGATGATGTTTGTTCGCTCTTAGGCATATCGGCCGGTGGCCAAAAGGATTGCACACCTGGCTTGCAATTCGAATCCGCGTAGGGGCGGACATCCTCAAGTTATACTCAGCCTACACACGACCGGTGGCGGTCGCGTGGCAGCGAAGCGTCGGTAGTGTGCCGACGTACTGCTGATGATTTTCTTCGTCCTTAGGCATGCTGTCCCATTATCGCCGGTTCTTGCACAATAGTTACGATAGTCACCAGTAAATGAATTGTTGCACAAAAAGGTACCAGGGTGTTAGGGCTCTATTCAGCAGGATGTCTTCAAGAAAACTAAGCAGGCTCTTTCTTCACCACCAACGATAGTACATTATGATATCCATAAGCCATTCATCCCTCAATGAGACGCGTCCCCTTGTGGATTCGAGACTGTCCTGTGTAACCGCATAAACGATGGTTTTTTACGTCCCATAGCATTCGCATCGCGCACCATACAAGCAACAGAGCAGAACTACTCACAGCTAGATAGAGAAACTTTAGTTGTAATCCTCGGAGTAAAGAAGTTTCACCAGCATCTATGGGGGAATTTCTTCGAGCTGCATACAGATCACAAACACTTACTATCGTTACCGGAAGAAACCAAGGGCATTCAACAGA